CGCGACCTTGCATCTGGCTTGGCATCTCTCTCCATCTCCATCCATCTCCACTCAAGACTCGTGTCTCGTGCTGACTGCTCACCTGCCTGCCTTGTGCTGCTCCACGCGCCCAGTCTGAGTCCCATCTCGTCAGAGATCACTCCCCGACGCTTTAGCTCGTCAGAAGAGAGTACATCACCACATGCACGAAGAATAGCCCCTGTACGTGTACGTTAGATGGGAGCCTTCGATGCTCCGTAAGATGACCACTGCTCTGCGCTAGGAGATTCGCACTGCGCTACTCTGCTGATTGTGTGTCCGGAAGACGGTCATTTCAAACGCGTTCAGGCAATTGTGTACTTCGCGAAATCCCAGCTTTAAAGCAGATTTGCGACGCTGCGTTGTGTGCGATGGGTACTGCGGATGTCAGCGAAACATTTTGTGCAACTCCTCCTCGACATTTTGTGCAACTCCTCCTCTCCCGCTGCTGATCGAGATGGATGCAGAATGCAGCGCACTACAAGGTACAGAAGGTACGCAAGCACATGGCTTCTGCACCTTCCTGCGCATTCAAGTGCTGTGCTGCGGAGTCCGCTCGCAGCGCACCGATCAGCGAAACATCTTTATTGTGGGCCACATTCACGATTGAAGGATTCGATCGCCAAATCGCGAGCTGAGGAGACGTGTGATGGAGGAGCCGGCAAGGAAAAAGATGTTGCACGTGCACAAGTGACAAGCAGGCTGCTTCCGCCAAGTGCCAGGAAAATCAGGGCTGGAGAGTCGTGGTTGCTGGTGAGTATCCGAGCGCTAATGGCCGCTGCACAACAGCGTACAGAGGACGGTGCACAATTCGACCGAAGCGCTCGCCGTCATCACCATTCCCTGCCCAAGGTCGCGTGACCTGGTCGAAACTCATCCTCTCTGGACTTGCGACAGAGAGACAGAAGAGGCTGCCACTCGCACACTTTCACAACGCCAGCAAGACGGCAAGCAAGAGCAAGAGGTTGCAGCGAGGAGGTTGCAGCGACGCACGACGAGATGAGCGGATCTCGAAAACGCATGCGCAGACGGGGCTCTCTGCACGCACGACGCTTTTCGGCTTCGAATCGGGACTTCTGAGCAGCAGCATCAGCGATTCGCGCCACCACCTCGCGCATCTCGATGCTTGCATCGCCCACAGCAAAAGCCACAAATCTGAGAGTTTGAAAGGTGTGAAGATTTGGAGCGCAGACTCACATTTTCACGCATATTTGACCAGCACAGGACATCCTTCATCACCAGCAATCAAATTTGAAATTCCAATCAATCTTTGCGAGGGCGAGGCGCTTGGTTGTGGAGCAAATTTGCAATTCTTTTGTTGCCTGCCAACGATCACGTAGCCAACGTGCTGGCCTCGCTGGAGTCGCAAGAGGTTGGTAGTAAGGAGAGTGATGGATGAATTTGACGATCAAGCGAGCTCTGATTCGCCAAGTGTGAAAGTCAGGGAGGGAGTTCTTCGTGACTTGAATCGTGAGTCATGAGTGTCATGAGTCACGAGTAATGGCTGTAAGCGCGAGCGCCGCGCGGCTCTCATGAGCCAGAGCTCAGAATGCTCTCGAACTTGACCTCCGCCAACACGCGCTGTCATCGGTTAAACCACAAGCATGCACGCGCGACAACCGAAGCTGGGCAAAGGCCCAACAGAAAGTCAATCACATCAGCGAAGCACGCGTGGTACGTGGTACATGGACCGCTGGCGACAGCACAGTGGAGAAGCGCCGCACCTTCATGTCGTCACGTTCGCGATTGTAGATTAAGTCCACCCTGATGCAACTCAAACGTCGGCCGTCAACACCATCAACGTATACACTAACCATAGCTACCACGAGCATCCAAGTCGGAGGGTGCACGTTGAGCAGGAGTCAAGCATGGCGGGTGAAAAGATGCCCATGCTCACTGGCAGGGGCACGGCTCGCAAGGGCGGAGCCAGCTGGAGGATCCGACTGACGCTGCTCGCCCTTTCCATCGCGGTGTATACGCTTTACGCTGCGCTGCGCACTGATACAACTTCTTGCAAGACGGCTGTTTGGCCCTTCCCGCCGACGCCCAAGCCATCCGACGATCCAAATGTCGCCAAGTGCCGCGCCCTCAAAGTGGCCCCCGGAGCGCCAGGCAATTTCAGCCAGCGTGTTCGCTCAGACAGAGCCAAGCCGCGATCAGAGGCGCCACCCTTGCTGATCAAGAATGCAAAGGTGTGGCGCGCCGATGCCAAAACAGGGGTCATAGAGAATGCTAGCGTGTGGATCAACAATGGGCTGATCAAACGGGTCGCAGGCGGATGGACCGCGGCTGCCGAGATGGAAGCCGTAGCTGCTTCGAGCAGCGACAGCGTGATCATCGATGCTAAAGGCCGATGGCTCACACCAGGCATCATAGACATCCATGTACATGTCGGTGTATATCCCCAACCTCTGCTGGATGGCACGTTGGACGTCAATTCGCACCAATCTCCGAGGACACCGGCTCTGCGCTCAGTCGACGCGCTCAATTCCTTCGATTTGGCTTGGCATCAGCTAGCTGCAGGAGGCATCACCACCGGTCTCGTCCTACCGGGCAGTCTCAACAATGTTGGCGGTCAAGCCTTCCCTGTCAAACTTGGCAGACAAACGCTGAGCGATTCGAGGAACGGCGCGTGGCGCAGGGTAGTCGATCCTCCCGCCGTCGTGGTGGGACCGGGCGAAGGATGGGGTTGCAACGCTACAGCTGGAGACGGCATGAAGCGCGCAAAGGGTCAATCTTCATGGAGGCACATGAAGATGGCTTGCGGCGAGAACGCCAAGCGTGGGTATGGACTCGTCCGCATGGACGAAGCGCTCGGCTTCAGGTCCCTCTTTCAGCGCGCCAAGCAGCTCAAAGAATCTCAAGATAGCTTCTGTTCGCGATTAGAGCAGGGCGAAATTCAGACAGCAGAGTCTTTCCCAGATGACCTCGAGCTGGAAGCTGTTGTCGATGTGCTTCGGGGCAAGGTCAAGGTGAGTGTCGCGTACGCTGCAGCGTCTCGGCGATACGGTCCCGACTGACGAACACCCCTCTTTGCAGGTCAACACCCACTGCTACACGGCAGCAGACCTCGAAGCTTACGTGCGGCACACCAACGAGTACAAGTTCCCGCTGGCCGCCTTTCACCACGCCCACGAAGCTTATCTGGTGCCCGATCTACTCAAGAAGGCATACGGTGCTCCGCCCGCTGTGGCCCTCTTTAGCTTGAATGGCAATTACAAAGCGGAAGCCATCTCTGGCTCTCCCTTTGCACCTGCACTTCTCGAGTCGCATGGATTGCAGGTACATATCAAGAGCGATCATCCTGTCACAGATAGCCGAAGGCTTGTCCAGCAAGTCGCTCAGGCTCATCATTATGGTGAGGCGGCGCGGATAATTCAAAAGGGCGCTTATAGTACACGCAGCTCATCGCAATGCCCCCATCCTCTTTTGCACTTGCAGGCTTCAACAAAGCTTTGGAATCGGTCACTAGCGCAGCTGCTCGCTCTCTGGGTCTCGATCATCGCATTGGGCACATCAAAGAAGGCTACGACGCCGATCTGGTCTTGTGGAGCGACCATCCCCTGAAACTTGGATCAACTCCCTTGCAAACCATCGTTGATGGCACGCTTCAGCTCGACCTCTCCTTAGCGCATCAGAACACAAGCAAAAGCGCAGCAGACTCGTCGCCGCGTCAAGCGGACTACGCCCACGAAGTGCATCGCGTCAACACAAGTGGTCCGGACATTCTGACCGGTCGAGCTAATGCTGGTCCTGAAGCCTTGGCAGGGCGCTTCGATGACCTTGTCTTCGCCAACGTCTCTGCTGTCTATCTTCAAGAGGGCGAGAAGGTCAGGCTGGTTGATCTGAACGGGACCGGCACCGTCCATATCGAGAAGGGCACCATCACCTGCGCAGGATCCCTGCAAGCGTGCCCATTGAAAACGCACCACACCGTCGACCTTAAGGGATATGGTGTCATCACTCCCGGTCTAACGACATACGGATCCGAGCTGGGTCTTTCGGACATCGTAAGCGAACCTTCTACTGGTGATTTTGCATCCGCTAGATCCAACTTCAACACGCTCGTAGGCAGGACTTCTTTGCCCCTAAGCCGAGCAGTCGATGGGCTTCAGTGGGGGAGCAACGACCTGCAACGCGCACTCGCGAGCGGCGTTACCAGCGTCGTCGTCGCTCCGCGCTCTAGCGGCAGCTTTGTGGCTGGCATATCGACACGCTTCCGAACAGCTGTGGAAGACGTTTGGAACCCGCATGCTATCCTTAAAGAAGAAATTGCGCTTCACGTTTGGTTGTCGCACTTGCAAGACGGAGATGCTGGAGCCATCTCGGAAGCGGAGCAGATTGGCGTTCTCCGCGATCTGCTTTCGAGAGCGGATCGCATTCGCACGCACGATGCGGCGGAAGGTGGAGGATACAACGATGGCGTTTGGCAGCGGGTTGTCACGGGAAAGCTGGCTCTCGTAGTGCACGCAAGCAAAGCTGAACGTCTAAGCACGCTTTTGAAGCTGAAGCACCAGCATTATCGATTGAGGCTGGTTTTGGCGGAAGCCGAAGAGGCAGCTCATGGAGGTCTGCCGGCCGCGCTTGCGGCTGCGGGTGTGGGAGTACTGATCAAGCCGTTCATCCGGCCGCAGTTCTACGATAGCAGACGGGCTTTGCCTGGTCCGCCACTGTCGAGCAACACTACCCTCTCCGTCCTCCGCGCGCACGGAGTCAAGACTGGCTTCTTGTTGGATGAGAGCTGGGAAGCTACATCCCTTTTGTGGGATGCTTCTGCTGCTTCCCTGGAAGCGGGCGTGGAAAGAGGCGAGGAGGTGCTAGAACATCTTTTGAGGTGAGATAGGGCAGGTGAGCGAGCCGCACATCAAGTGTGAAGCTGATGAGTACCTCCACGTCGTGCTACAACCGCAGCTTGGAGAGCTTGCTGGGCCTAGAAACGACTCGGGATTGGGTCGCATACGATGTGAGTTGTGATGTGTCGCACCGCCGCCTGGACGGGACCGCCCTTCAGCCTAGGCGCTTATCTCTTGCATCGCTCCATCACGCTTCCAGCACAATCCCTTTGAATATGGCGCAAGACCCGTGGCCATCGGAGGTCCAGCAGGTGTTGCAATGTTCCCGTGATCTGGTGTTCGTGGCATCACCAATCCTTCTTTGCTTCCGACAATGAGCAAAACGAGCATGGGAGCTCGTCCTATTGCATGCTCACCACTCAAGATTCGGCTTCACCTCGCTGCGCGATGTCGTGACTTTGCTCATTGCGAGCTGCGGATCCCGTCAATCGCATTGCTACAGCATATCACATGTCTATTCCGTTCTACGGGTGGCTGGACCTGCATTCACCAGTCAAGTTCTCGAACATCCATGTAACAGCAACAACAAGCCCGACATTCTTTACCCGCGTGCACACTCGTGACTGCTGCTATGCCGCTACACGTTTGGGAATGATCAGGACTTGGTCGTGGCACAGCTGGCTGCATGCAGGTCCTGCTGGATCGGGGTGATGATTTGATTCTTTAAATAGCAGCTAGCTTGGACCTGCTCGACGAGGTGCGGCG